TGGACTCAGTCAAAAGGCCACACCCAAGGACCTAGAAGGCCGCATGTGGTCTCAAGGGTGCAGGTTCCCCAACCCTTGAGCTAAGTCATTCACAGTTCCTCATTGAACAATAGTGCTGTTATTGTACACAACGTTCTGCTGCTCTGTTTACTTCACTATGCATCAGTTCATGTAAGTGTTTCCAGGTTTTTCTGAAATCATCCTGCTTGTCATTTCTTATAGCACAACAATATTCCATTATAATCATATACCACAGCTTGTTTAGCCATTCCCCAATTGATGGGCATTCCCTCAATTTCCAACAAAAAGAGGTGCTATAAATATTTTGTACAAATAGGTCCTTTTCCCCATTTTTTTTTTGGATGTCTTTGGGATATAGACCTAAGCAGTGGTATTGCTGGATCAAAGCGTATGCACAGTTTTATAGCCCTTTGGACAAATTCCTCTCCAGAATTGTTGGATTAGTTCACAACTCCACCACCAGTGCTTTAGTGTCCCAGTTTTCCCCACATCCCCTCCAAAATCTAACATTTTCCTATTTTGTCATATTAGCCACTCTGATAGGTGTGAGGTGGTACCTCAAAGTTGTTTCAATTTGCACTTCTCTGATCAATAGCAATTTAGAGCATTTTTTTCACATGACTATAGATAGCTTTGATTTGTCTAAAAACTGCCTGTTCATATCCTTCGGCTATCACCTTTTTAAAAAAAAAATTAAGAGAAATAGGTTTGAACTTACAAACCTTTTCTACCAGCTAAAAGAAAAACTAGGAGGTAGCCGGAGAGTGATGAATAGTGCCTGCAAGTTTCACTAGCCTAATATAGGAAGTAGAAATTTCACATCTTTGGAAGGGCCAATACCATTTTCTGTTGCCTGGGTATTAAAATAAGATCTTGAGGCACAGTCCTAGGCTAAGTCTCAGGATAAATTTCTGGAAGGGGATCTGTTGTCTATCTTATATCCTCTAATATTACTTCTCATACAGAATGACTTACTTTCTTCTCATCTATCTTGTGTTTCAATTCCCAGTTGAGACCCATAATGGCTTACATCGCAAGAAGGGAAGTATCTATTGTTTCCTGAACAGGACAGACTATTGAAGTATTTGGCCACTTGGGAGAGAATGCAAGACTACAGAGCTCCTTGGTACTGAGTCATGCACATGACATAACTAAGGGCTTGGCGTATATGTTCCTGGCCAGAGTAATCCAATTGCTTGGAAACTGGATTTGAGTGTCTTTAAAAAAAAATGTTGCAGAAACAAGGAGGATCAAAGTAGGGACCCTGCAAGGGCTAGATGGAATGATACTGGATAATGGTAGGCATAATTTTTATTTGCCTTTTTTTTTGGATGGATGATCTTTTGATTGGAAAGGACAAAACTATAGTTTGAATCTTCTTTGCAAGGAGGGAAGTGAACCTAAGAAGATGAAGAGGCTGAACCAGATAATGGTGTAGGTATATTCAAGGATATGAGAGTCAAGAGAGCTGAGCTGAGATGATCATGATGACTTCTCAGGACAAAGGGAAATTGTCCCTTTTTGGTGTAGGTGGGAGAAGGTAGGGATGTCCTGCCTGAGATGTGCTAGGCCACAAGAGTATGGATTCAGTGAATAATACATCAGTCAGCTTCATTTAAAGGTTTCCCTTACCTCTCCAAGACTGGACAATGAGCAATTAATTTGTCACTCAGTCTCAATCAATTCCCACATTGGCCTCTCAGAGCCAAAGGATTAGACAAAGCACGGTATGCATCATACAGGCCCTAAGTCTACTTTAAAGGGGTAGTCATTCTGTAAGACAAAATTAAGAGTAGGGAGAGCTAAACAGATTTCAAACTATGTCCTTTGGGCATAAGGACTACAAAAAGAGTTCTTGTTGTTTATAGTATTGGGAGAAAAAGATCAAAGATGTGACAGGACCTTGGCTTGGGATGGATTGGGCAGTCATCAACAATAAAGAGAAGAGAGCTCCTCAATTCTCAGTTTTCTCTTTACATTGGATGGAAATGATAGGAGGGAAATGACTAATAGTGGTTGATACTCAAGATAAGTATCTAGGTGCCCTTGGTGAATTCAAGTCACGTGGCTCGTGGGTCCTGGAAGGAATTGGCAGATACAGCAATAAGATATCACTACTGTCAGTTATATCTGAAAGGTCATGGAAAATGGATGAGGCACTACAAGATTGGAGGAGGGCAAATAATGTCTCAATTTATGAATTGAAAAAAAAAGGAAAGAGAATAGTCTACAAACTGACTTGGGTTGAGCTCGACTTGGGTTCCTCATTAAATCCTGGGAGAGATCATTAAAGAGATGACTGGCAATCTTCCAGAAAAGAAGTGGAAATTACAAAATGTTGGCATAGCTTCAAGTACAGGTCATGACAAATTAGCCTCATTTCCATTTTTTTTTTTTGACAATTACTAAACAAGTGAGGAAAATTCCAGGAATATAGTTTACTTAGATTTTAGTGAAGCTTTTCATAAAGTATCTCATAATATTCTGGTGGGGAAAATGGAAGAGATCTGATCTAGACTAGATGATCACATAATCAGATGGATTCAGAACTGGTTGCATGAAACACAGAGTAGTCGTTAATAGTTCGATGACAATATGGCAGGTGGTCAGCAACGGGGCACCCAAGGGATTTGTGCGTGGCTTCCTCTGACATTTTAAATAATGACTTAGATAACTAAAGTACGGATGCTATGTCCATCGAATGTGCAGATGACCCAAAACTGGGAGGGGTAAGTAACACCCTGGATGACAAAGTCAGGATCCAAAAGGATCTCAACAGTCTAGAGCATTGGGATGAATATAATAAGGTAAAATTCAATAGGGATAAATGGAAAGTTTTGTACTTGTATATAAAAAAATCAACTTCATAAGATGAAGGAGGCATGGATAGATAGTTGTTCTAGAAGAGATCTGAGAGTTTTAATAGATTGCAAGTTCAATGTGAGTAAGCAATGTGAAATGGCAATCAAAAATGCTAATGTGATCCTGGGCTGCATTGAGGGGCACTGCTTCCAGGAACAGGGAGGTGATAGCCCTGCTGAACCCTGTCTTCATCAAACTTCATATGAAGTACTATGGTCAGTTCTAGGTACCATGGTTCAAGACGCTGACAAATGGGAGAGTGTCTAGAGGAAGGCAACCAGGATGGGGAAAGGCCTTGAGTCCATGATATATGAGAACAGGCTGAAAAATCTGGGCATGTTTAGGCTGAAGAAAAAAATGGATCTGGGGCATGACAGCTGTCTTTAAGTATCTGGAGGGCTTTCATGTGGAAAAGGCATTAGACTTTTTCTTTTAGGCCTCAGAGAGCAGAACCAGGAGTAATGGGCATAAAGATAGAGAGGAATGTTTAGGGTATGACATCTGGGAAAACCTCCTCACAATTCAAGGGGTACAAAAGTGAAATGGGTTGTCTCAAGAGGTGGCGGGTCTTCTCCTTGGCAATCTTCAAGCAGGGACTGAAGAAAGACTTGCTGGACATATTTTCGTGGACAGTCTTCTTTTCACATAGGATTTGTGGACGCTGAGTCCCATTCAACTCTCAAATCCTGTGAATTGAATCTAAGAGAATGTTCCAGTAGCAGAGAAACAGTATAAGCTTGAATGTGCAGCTATAAGAGAGTAGGAACAGAAGAAAAAAATGGGGATATGCCTCAGGCCCCTAACTGCAGAAAGATAAGGAGAAGTTATCCCAATAGCTACAATTTTTACATTCTTCTTCCTTAAAAAATCTCAAGAAATGTATCTATTTCTTGCTTCTGAAGGGAAACTGAGGCTCCTTCTTTTGGACTCTCATGGTGGGTCACCATAGTGTAGCATCCTGGGTATGAGCCCCAAACCCACCCTAAAGCTTCAGCACTCCACTGGAGGTAGACCTTATCCCATCTCAATTTCAAAGAATGATTAGGTTCATCTGACCAGTTTGGCAACTAGGCGTGAGCAAAGAAGTGCAAGCAGAAGCCATGACAACAGATGAATCCTCTAAAAGTGAGAGCCTTAGAGAGAAAACAGACCAAAGGTCTAAAGACCAAACTTCTCTATTTTCCAGGCAAAACAGTCCTAATCCCTTTAGGCCAGGGGTTTGTAACCTTTTTTTTGTGTCATGGTCCCTTTTGGAAGACCCTTTTGGAAGGTGACACCTATGGACCTCTTCCCAGAATACGTGAAAACGCATAAAATACACAGGATTACAAAGGAAACCTATTATATTGAAATATTTAAAAAGTTAAAAATGAAGTTCACAGACCTCAGATCCCTGCTAAATTTCTGCTTTGGACATTTCTTTTGTTCCTAGCTTTTAGTTCTTTAATCATCTTTAAGGTTCTACCCTAGACCAGTGGTCTCCAACTCAAATGAAAATGGTCCAGATCTGTATAGAAGATTCACTGCAGGCTGCCTATGGACTTAGGTTTTAAAACATAATGTTATCTACATTTTATTAATTCTCATTTACTTTGCTAAATATTTCTCAATTACATTTTAATCTGGTTCAGGCTGCACTTGGGGGTGTTACGGGCAGTGGCTGGCAGGCTGCATGCTTGACATCTCTGTTCCAGACCATCTCAAAATTTTCTACATTCCCATCAAAGTAGAGAAACTAGAAGACAGTGTTCTCAAGAGAAAATACTGAGAACGTATTCAGTCCCAGGAACCTTTTGGTTCCTACATGCCCCATTTAAAAATTATATAAAATGCAATGACTAAAACAATGGGAATGAAGAGATCACTAAACGGAAGCCAGGCTCTGAACAAGTGTAAACCAGTAATATCTCAGGAGAATAGATGAGGAAACACGTCTTCCCCATCCTGGTGGAGGTGGGAGCCTGTGAAGGCAGAATATCTGATACGTTGTCAGCTGTGGTCATTGTGTGTCCACTGCGTTTGCTTACCAGGTTTTCTTCATTAAAATAAAGGTTTCAATTGGGGGAAGGAGGCAAGTAAGATAATATACAAAAATGACTGCTATAAAACAAAAGGCATTAATAATACTTATTTTTAATTATATAGAGAATGTTATGATGTTATATAAGAAAGCTAGCATGTATTGGGGGGCAAGAATTCAAAGAAATGCTTGGGCTGAACCAACTACTGAAATAAATAAAAAGTGATGTTTTATTACATTTTCCTTGTCAAATACTTGGGGCAATCCCAAAATGTGCTAGTATTTAATTTAGCTGAAAATGTCAAACTTCTAAAAAAGCAAATAAAGAAAAATCTTAAATTATATTAAAAACCAAACATTCTTTCCAAGGCACAATACTGGCATTTTCAGATTGACAACAATATGAATGTTTCCTGCAAACAAAATCTTGAGTCCAAAGTCTGCCTTTGAAAAAGTTCCATGCTTCCTCTCAGAAATTTCACCCGTCTTAGGGAACTATGCTTGTGGCCTTTCTCAAGGCCAGGTAGCCTGTAACAACATCTGAAGGGAGCATCCGAATGTAAGCAAATTCTTCAATCGTGCTGAATCTTAACTTGCTCTGTGGATCTGTATAGTTTGCCTGGAAGAGAAACATTAATGATGAATATAAATCACAGAAATATCTATATTAAAAAGTTAAAAGTGCAAATTATCTTTAAAATATAAATTATTTTAAAAGTTGAATGTATGTACGTGAATGTTTTATGTTGCCACTGAGAAAGAACTAAATTGCTCGCTTAGGTAAAAATTCATTAATCCACCCAAGTCTAGTTAATCATTTAGGGCCTCACAAGGAAGAAACTACAAACAGGCTTCCAGCAGTGCTTCCCATTAACAGAATAAGAAACCATTATGACTAAAATCTTTATTGCCCATCCATATACATCACGTCCCTTCCCTCCTTCTGCTTTTGCTTCACTATCTGCAAGACAGAGATAATACCCATTTCCCATCTAGCTCACAGGGAGCTTCTCCTGAAGATCTCAAGAAAAAGCATGTCATTCAGAACTCACTTTAGGAAAAAAAAAATATAAAAGGTTTTAAAATTTAGTTTGTTAACTTCCAATTCCCCATGCATGGAATATCTACTCCAATGTAGATTATCTGTGCATGAATATAGGATAAGAGTAATTTAGCTGACAAAGGAATAATCGAGTTGAAACCATTAAGGACACATGATTTTCAATCAATAAAAAGTCTATTCTTCTGCCCCAAGAATGTCCCTCACACTGCTTAAATTACTTGGCTTCTTTGTGTCAACTATACCCTATCTGAAAAATGGGGCAACAGTGAAAAATACCAAACTTACATTGTTTTGCCAAATACAAACTGCTCTATGAATGCTTCGTATGAAAAAATGTTGGTTTAAGGTTTTGTTGGGTCCAGGTTTCTTTCACCATTCTCTAATATCCTTTAATGAAACTGATATTAAGCAGAGCTTAACTGGAGAAATATTAGCTACTCCCTACTGAAGGTAACTAGTTGGTATGTTATAGCTTCACTAGCTAATTCACTAGCTAATTAGAATTTATTTTCCCCAAAATATAGGACCCAAGACGTGGACACAGACTTTTGTATCTGACAATTCTATTTTACATGCATGTGGTTCCTAACTCTTGGCTCCAGACATACTACTGTTTCACTTGTGATATCATATCAGGTTTGGACAGTTATATGACCATTAATAATTATGACAAAGGCTGCCGGTAAAAGAGTTGAATTAGTAAGACACTATTCACTGGAATATTGGACAACTCCACCTGCCTAATTTCTGTCCACATGTCACGGTACAGTTTAATTGTCACTTCTTTTATTGTTTTCTACATTCCCTGGCCTTGTTTGAATTAACAGAGCATTTCATCCATTTCACAAAGCATTTTCACATCATATCTCGTAGCATAATGATTGGCATTCATACTATCTCCCCTACCAGACTATAAGTTTCATGAAGACAGGAATTGTGTCTTTCTCTTTCTAATTCCCCAAAGCGCTTAGTAATAAACACTTGTTGAAATGAATATAGACCCTTAGCTTAAATGTTAATGAGAAAGATTTCAGCCACCATTTCATTAGGATAACCTAGGGTTAGGGTTTAGCCTAAAAGAGGAACTCCCTTCTGAGTCTGCTCAACCGGAGTCCTAAAAGCCCTGACCCAGACTTCACAACTTGTCACTTTAAAATACTTAAGACATTTTTGTGAAGTGCTCTGCTTCCTAGGGGCAACTATAATAAGAATAACAGCAATAATAAGGAATTAGCTCTAAAGTGCTAACAAAGATTTTTATAAGAAAAATCAGTGCCACAGAGATGTATTATCACATATGAATCTTATGTATATATTTTGGTCAGTTCCTATGGAAACAGAACTCCTATATTTTGATGCGAGACATAAAATTTAAAGAATATGAATAATTTTTATCTACACAACAAATTGGATTACTTCGTTTTCTTTGATAATAGTAAAGGGTTAAAAAGCCAAATTTCAAAAAGATCTGGAAAGCAGCCTGACAAATAATCTAATCTAATCTCTTCCTTTTACAGATGAGAACATCACAGCCCAGAAAGATTATGTGACTTGCCTGAGGTCACTGGTGGCAGACAGAGGATTCAAACCTGGATCTCCTGCCTCCCAGACCAGTGTTTTTCTCACCACATATTATATGCTATCTCCTATCAGACAACTTAAATATCTAAACCACAAACATTCAAAGGGTAACGGCTTTTTAAAAACTTCAACAGTAACATGCATGCATTTCGAAAATAATCGGTCCAGTTCTTTCCCCTACATTTCATCTTCTACATAACTGAAATGCTGATTTTAAAAAAAAGATTTAATATTATCTTAATACAAGCCAGATAATGCCCCGAATGAGCAATGCCAATGCAATAATGCACTTGTTTTCCTATTAAGAAAATGATTTAAAAAGTCACTAAATGTATAGCAATGATCAAGATATACAGTTTTACAAAAGTTAGGTAAAAAAACAAGACAACACTGTTACTAAATTACTAAATTTAAAGCACAATTTCTTTCTCTTAACAAACAGTAATTTTCTAAAGACAAACATGAAAGGTACTCCTGCAGATGAAGAAACTGAAGCCAGCAAGGTTAAGTGATTTTCCTAAGGTTCCTTGGTCCCCATAGCTACAAGGGACTTCTCCCCTACGGTTCTCTTCCATCTACTCTCTATGTATCTGGTATAGATTTATTTATGTACCCATTCTCTTTCCCATTAGAATGTAAGTTTCTTGAGGACAGGCATTAGTTTGTTGTCTTTTTTTTCTTTGTAATCTAAGCACTTAGCACAGTGCCTGGCACATGGCAAGTACTTAAGAAATACTTACTGATTGAAAAAAAAAAGTTTTAATTCACGCTTTCAAACTTAATTATTTTTAGGTAATATAATTTGTGGGGTATCTGCATGGTTGCTGAGATTATATCCTGTGTCAAATAAAATATATCAATAAAACGAAAGGCAAATGGAAGCTATCTTGCTGAAAGTCTGATGATCTTTGGCGTGACTACTCTCTCTACAAATATTTACCCCTCTGGATAACATCTCATAGAATCATAAATCTTAGAACTGAAAAGCACCTTAAAAGATGATCTGGCTCAGGTCTTTGTCTTCATGTGGGTAAGTTATTCTTATTTCCGTTTTACAGCTGAAGCAATGGAGACCCAAAGACCTTAACTGACTTGTGCAAAGTCACATAGAAAATCAGTGAAAGGGCTGGGACAAGTGCCCAGATCTCAAAGGATGATAGATTTAAAGCCTGGTCATTTGGTTCATCCCCTTCGTTTTATGGAAGAGGAAACTGAAGCTCAGAGAAGTTTAAGTGCCTTTTTCACAGTCTCCTGGCTACAAAGTGTCTGAGGTAGGTTTCAAACCCTGGTCTTCTGACTGCAAGTCCTATGCTCCATTCACTCCACTGCCCTGCCCCAGTTCATCACAATGACTTGTCCAAGGGTTCACAGCTGGTCGGTAAGTGAAGTGAAGAGGGTACTAACAACAGGTTTCCTGTCTCTTAGAGCAATGCTGTTTGCATTCCAATGGGCTGCCTTTCATGATTAGGGCAACCTTATAAACATGTGAAAAAAAGCCTTAGGTGTGAATGGTTCAGTTTTCCATCCATCTTTTAACATTTTGAGAATCTGTGAGGTCAATTATGTGACTATACCCCTCCAAAGATGCAAGAAGTCACCTATGCCTGAGTAGACTGTTTCATGAATTGATATGGCTGAGAAAAAATTCATCACCTAGTTAGTAGTCAGTCTTCTTGGTGACCAGGCTCTCTAAATTTAGCTTGGCTGGTCCTCATCACGAAGGCTAGACACAAAGCCTTTCCAGAGCTGCTTCTACGAGATAGTCTTCAAAAGCTGAGCCTCGCCCCTACCCCGTGGTAAGGCACTGGAGCAGAACATCACTCCCAGAAAAACTACTCAAAGGAAATGTCCTCTTGGCAAAGTCAACAATATCATTTTCACATATGAAAGATGGACTGTCTAAGCAGATACTTATGAGGAAGTTTTTCCAATTTTAGATATTCCCATCAATTAATACTTACAACAAGTCCTGAAATATCCGAATACTTCCTGGCTGGTTTAAAGGAAGGAGGAGCATCTATACTGAAGTCTAAAAGGAGAAAAAAAGACATAAGCACTTTTCAAATAATTAACCAGACTCATAAAATTTAGTTAAGTTATTACATACTCATAGGACTCTCAAGGGACTAAGAAAATGTGAAGGAAGCATATGAACTAGGAGAGCCATGAAATTTCTCCAGTTATTATGCACTGATTCACTAAGGGCTACATCCAAGACTGGTTCTGCTCTTGCACATTACACTCCCATATTCCTACAAAACTACTATAATCAGGAGATGAGAAAGATCTGCTACTCTAATCTCTTCTCCCATTCTCTCTAGCTAAACTACAAGCTCAAAGTAAGATTTTTTTAAAAAAATGAAAGAATCTATCTGTCTTTAAGACGTTTTAAAACATCAGAATGTTTGACAGCACTACAAATTCAATGACTGGATGTTTTAATTTTCATTCGGCTACCTGTGTCTTATAGGCAGCTTCAACTTAGTTTTGTCGGAAGAAATGCCCTAGCAGAGAGCCAGAGATAGAGTAAAGCATAATATAAGTTTATTGTTTATACTGTATTTCCAAAAGTGGTAGAAGAGAGTCTCATAACACATCTTGTTACTTAGACTTAAACATAATACGGCTTAAGTCATGTCTCCAGGACAAATCCACTACATGGAGTCTATGCCTGACATAACATAGTTATTCTCCAAGGTGGGAGTCAATCTACACTCCAAAATATCCATTAAAGTAGGGTTCTACTCTATTTTAGAACAAAATAGAAGAGCAAAACATATTTTCAAAATAAGCTCATGTAATATGGAGCCACATTATGTCAGCACATACTAGCTTAGGCTGTAATGAAATGTTAAGTCTGACCAAAAAAAAAACAAAACAAAAAAACAGAACCACAAAGTCAAAAGCAACCTTGGAAGTTAATCTATTTTAACCCCCAACAAGGCAGCCTTCTTCCACTTAAAGACTTCTAGTGACAGAGAACTCACTAGCCACTACATAAAGAGCAGGTAGCGAAATATCTTTGTAATCAGTTATTTGGGGACCAAAAACAACTATGTACAAATGTAGGCATATGTTTAGCTGACACAAAGTTTTACCAAACACTTTATATACATTGTAGCTCCATGTGAAGATACACATCCTCTTTATAGGCCACTACTATAAAATACTAAAGAGATAGAAGTTTGCCAGTTGCACTGTTTTAAAATTGGAATGTGTTTATCAATGATGGTGCTGACACACACAAAAAATTTAGGTTTGTTTTAAGACAGTTACTTATGGGCATATTATTTATAAACACATGCAAAGCATCTAAACCACATACAGCTAGGATCGTTGAGTTGCCATGGCAACGCCCTTTCCGAAGCAAGAATCTGTTTTAGGTTCTTCCAGGTCCTGTTCTTCTTGCCTGCCGCTGCTCCCCCAATGCCCGAGTGCTGGAATGACAAACGTGGTGTCAGAAACGTCACATTCTCAAAGTGCCATCTTCACTGATCTCTCTTCAAACTGAACAGACATCAGGAGGCATTCCTCATCCTGTCAACCATCAGTTGTTACCCAGGTTAATTTAAGAAACAGTGCGTTGTACGCTTTAATCCTAGTTGCAAGAAAAAAACTAAACTTTTAGACTGTCAAAACTAGTTTGCTGGAGATTCTGAGGAAATAAAAGTGCACTTTTCACAGCAAACAGAAAGACAAGAAAACAATGTTTAGTCCAACACTGCTTAATTCCACACCACAGGAATTTCCCATCACATTAAAATCATTTACCACAGAATTGGAGCTAAAAAAGCAAGTAAACTCTTTGGGTATAAGTATCTCACTTGCAAATTATTAGACATGCTGAAAAACACACATGAGCCTGCAAAATATCACTTCTTTTGTGAATTAGACAAAAAACAAGATAAGGAGTAACTGAACACAATACTGGCAAAAAAAAAAAAAGGTTGTTTTGCATTTTCAAAACTTGCCAGTGATGACAATCTGGTACCAACAATAAATCCAATAATGAATGATCAAATATGATTGTTATGGATTCATTTCTTATATCCCCCAAGAATCACAGGAAGAAAAATATTTCTATTTAATGAGCCATAATCTCAATGGCTTGACAATTCTTATTAGTGGACTTTTAGTAGAATAAAGACTAAAAGTAAATGGAGCCAGGGGTTCCAGGAAACCTCACTTCATTGGTTAGCAATTATTTCATGCTACTTGTAAAAACTCATACAAAACTTCTTTGTAATAACAAAAAGTTGGAAACAAAATATGTGCCCAACAATTAGCTGAGGCAATAATTTACTCCTCTCTAATCGATTCTCTATCCTGATTACCATAACAGCTGTTTCCAAACTTCTCTTCTTTCCTTAAGCTTCCCACAGCTTCTCCATCACCCAGACCTTTCTGCTGAAGCCCCCACCTCATATATTTTGAAGAAAATGGAGTGTTCTCCAAGAGCTTCCTCTTCCCTCCTCCTCCCCTCATCACCCTTTGCCTTCATCCCCCACTATTTCCTCCTTTACTCTGGTCTCCAGATGAAAACATGGTCCTTTTTTGTAAGACCAGTTCCTCTTCACATAGGCTGGATCTCAGCTCTTCCAGTCTTCTCCAACAGAGTGCCCCTACTCTCCTTAACTCCCCCTCATTAATCTCCAGACTCTTTCCGCTGGCTCCTCCTCTGTTTCCTACAAACACTCGACTTCAGTCAATCCTCCCCTCAGCTCCCAAAGTGATTTTCCTCAAGTGCAGGCACGTGTATGTCATTCCCCTACTCAATAAATAAATAAATAAATAAAGACTCCCTCTTACTCTAGGATCAAGTACAAACTCTATTTGGTATTTTAAATTCTCCACAACCTGGTTCCTTCCTCCATTTCTGGTCTTCTGACACCTCGCCCCCTCCACGCACTTTTTGGTTCAGCCATCCTGACTTATTTGCTGCTCCTCACACACACTACTCACCCATCTGCCATCTCTGTGCCTCTGCACTAGTTGTTCCCCATATCTGGAATGCTTTCTTTCCTCCCCTTCTCCTCTCAGAATTCTGGGTTTCCTTTAACACTTGGAAATTGAAGAGACGCCCATCAATTGGCAAATGGCTGAACAAGTTGTGGTATATGAACGTAATGGAATATTGTTGTGCTATAAGAAATGATGAGCAGGCAGATTTCAGAAAAAACTGGAAAGACATGTATGGACTGATGCTGAGCGAAGTGAGCAGAACTAGGAGAACGACGTACAGAGTTACAGCCACGTTATGCGACGACTAACTCTGATAGACTTAGCCCTTCTCAGCAATGTAAGGATCTAAGACATCTCCATAGGTCTCATTAGGGAAAATGCCATCCACATCCAGAGAAAGAACTGTGCAGTCTGAATGCAGATCGAAGCATACTATTTGCTCTTCTTTTTTCTTCTGTTTTGTTTTGTTTCTTCTTTCTTGTGCTTCCTCCCATTGGTTCTAATTCTTCTTTACAATATGACTAACGTGAAAACATGTTTAATAGGAATGTATATGTAGAGCCTATATCAGATTGTACACCATCTTGGAGAGGGAGGTGGGAAGGGAGGGGGAGAAAATTTAAAATTCAAAAGCTTATGGAAGTGATTGTTGAAAACTAAAAATTAATTAATTAATCAAAAAAAAGAAAGTGTCTATTGAGTCATAACAAAATACAAGCAACAAATGTTTTTTTAAAACTCATTTTAAAAAAGAATTATTTTTCTAACTTACTCTTTCAAGAAAGCCAAGGCAGTGATAATGAATGAGGATCTTCATCCAAAATTCTCTACTAACTGATATAGAACCTTGTTATCTCACATACTGGGAAAACAAGGTATGGTCATTTAAAATTATGGTTAACTGAGACTTGTAGTTGATTTGTTCCAAAGGCCATGATTTAACATGCATTTCATTCAAACTTATATGATAATTTCTATTATGAGATCCTCTTCGAGCTCACTTGAAATGTCACTATAGGGGAAAGGCTTATGGCTCACAACCTGACTTCGCTCTAATTCACTCATTTTCTAGCGTTGCTCTGAAACTTAGCATTTCTACTGTTTCTTATCCTTCTCTGCTCTTCCTCCACATTTCCTGTCTTGCTCCTCTGTTGCAGTGACTGGCTTTTCCTGGGCCCCCTGCTGCCCTCCACTGCAGTCTTCCTCTCCCCATTCTGGAGAGGAGCAGCATCTCTTGGTTGCCTGAGTGACGATTCCTCCTGGAGAGGGTATCCGAGATGTCAGTCTCTTCAGCTTTTCTCTTTGTCAGTTAGTTGGCTGGATAACAGGGTTTTTATTGCACTATAATTGCAGACAAAGATGTGCCCAAGCAGTATAGATCATTTTTTTTCTTTTTTAACATGGACTCTCCAAACCATAAAATAAATGAAACACTCACCGACATGGGTAATATTCTTCCTAATTTAGGAATGACTAAGAGGCACAGCTTTTTGACACACATTTTTCAACTGCACATATTTTCTTTCTTCAACCCAGCCCTCACTAGGATTTGTAAAAGATCATCCATTTTCTCTAGCCACCACTATCCTAAATCTTCTACTTTTCCAGGCACAGAAAAGAGAAGCTTCCGTTTGACTTCAAAAATTCACTAGCTTAGCCACATAGAGCAAAACCCTTTTCTTAGGAAAGGATAAATAATAAACCTGAAGTGGATATTCCTATGACCTTTAAGTCCTATAAGCTAAAATCAGTTATGTGCTCACAACAAAAAGTCAACACAAATAGCGCAACAATTAGCAACTGCTTAGAAAAAAGTTTGGATGACAAAATAAATTCTCTGTCACGGTTTCTGTCAGATCTAGACTAAGAGCACGAGAGACAGAGCAGGCCAAAGGGGGCCAAAACAAGATAGGCTTAACCAATCATACACAGCAGGGTAGATGGTGAAGCATCCAGGGAAAAGGGGCCAAGTCAAGGCAAAAGCTGGTATGGAGAGGGCACAGAGGTACCAACAATCCTGAAGATCAAGCTGAGGTCAAACAGGCTAGATACAGAGGTTAAGTAGATGGGTCAGGTCAGCATTCACAGTTCCTGATTAAACAGTATGGATAGGAAGAAGCAGAATTTGATTATACAGGCAGAGGTCTGAGTGCAGGGTTCAAGTTAAGTATAAGGAAATAAGGGGAAAGCAAGTGCCTAGGCTGAGAAGCTGGGAATGGCCTCTTGGGGTCTAGTAGAGGTAGATGGGTCACCAACAACAGCTGAACCAATCTGTAATTAGTGATCCCAGAACAGAGGCTGTCTACCCATTCCCTAGCTTTAAAAGTTCTTGCTGTAGACAGAGAGGCATCGACAGGTTTGTGCTGCTCCCAGAACAAGGTACACGTCGTCGGGAATTGAAACACTGACAATGGTCAGGTCCAATGGGGAGCCTTCCAGTGCCCATCACGATGCTCCGCACACAGTAGACCCTTCACAATTTGTTGTTGTTGGTGTCCTCGGAGCTTGATGGTTTTACCAAAACTCTCACTTAATGGGAAGGCTCTGTTCACATACAAGGATGCAGCACCTGACCTGATCAATGCAATGTGTAGATATTTAAAGTTATTCTTCCACTAGTGGGAACGAATTTGTATGGATCCTAATTAACAGTCTCTCGCCTGGTCCCTGTTTTGACCAAAAGCATAGATTCCTGACTGCAGCTGTAGTCTCAGGCAATGGAACAGAGCCAAGCCAACTGCCACACATGGGAAATGAACATCAGTGTCACCAGCCTCGTGAACTAACCAACTGAGCTAATGCAGAACTTCCATCTTCAAGGCTGACAAAGGGATTGCTATGTACGTGATTTCTAGCTACAGGTAATACCCTGTTTCAAGGAATATCACTGTAACCTTCAGTGCTATAAAAATGAACCAGCCCACGCTGCTTTAGTGATGAGGATATATAGAATTCTATTAAACAAAAAACCCTGTATAGTACATTCTCAAGTTTCTGTCAATATATTTAACAAAAAGGTCCTACTTTTCCTCCATGTCACCCAATTTATAGCATGTGGGTGGACAGACAGCACGTTCGGTTGGTCCAATAGTACACATATATCACGGACAAACATGGCACATGGACAATAAGCTGAGACTAGATTTGAAAAGCAGTTGAAAAGTGAGCTGGATTGAATTTGGGAACCTGCAAAACTCTTTCAATGATCCCAAATGGCTCCCTGCTACAAAAGCATATATTTTTAAACACTGACAATCTCCTCACAATGTTACAGACCTGCAAAGCAAAGAATCAATCTAACAACAAATATTCATTAAGCACCAGTAGGCACTGTGCCTTGCACTAGAGATATAAAAACAAAAATGATACAGTTTCTACCCTCACAGAGCTTACATTCTACTGGGAAATCAGTCTCAGAAGAACTGAAATTGCTGGTGACTTCTCCAGAGTTACACAGGCATAAAAAACAGAGCCAAGATTGAAACCCTAGTCTTCTGACTTCACATACACTGCTCTTTCAACTACACCTTGCTACTTCTTTGATCCAAACGATATTTTGGAAAAGCTTTTAGAGGGGCATAAATATGAAACAGATGAGCAACGAATACAGAAGGGTGAGACAAGGCGAGGTGGGGATAAGGCTTCCAGATGGAAGTTACAGGAACTAGCCGAAATGGAGACCAGGGTCCATCAGACAGACCGAGGATGCAAAGTGACAGAATGCCATTGTGAAGCAACTGTGAGGCAAAATGATGAAAATAACACAGGATTTACATAGGGTTTTGTTTCACAGGTAAAGACACAGGTGACACCATTTGTTGGGCAGGAAAGCACAAGAGAGCTCCTAACACTAACACGTTTACTCTACCCCAGGTTCATTTTTGATCCGGTCAGACAGGAAGACAGCTTCAGAGGGGTTAAATAAGCTTACTTTACGCTAGTCTAGTCTTCTCGAAAGGAGTTTGGTGATAATGGGAGCACCAGCTCCTACAGCATTCCCTAATCTCACTTCTCGAAGAGGCAGGTGAGAACAGGAGTATAACTCCTTCAAGATCCCCTAAGCCTCCATGGGGGCCGGCTGAGGCAAACATTGATTCCCCCCAAACCTTGATGGGGGCCAATCAAGGCAGGTACATGCATTCCTCTATGCATTACCCAAATCCCAAAATGGGTTCCCCACTTACTGATGAGTGCTCTCTTGATTTATAGAGAAGCACATTAATTGCCAACATTAAGCTCACAGGTTAACTTCAGCAATATCATTATGACCTAGCACAGCACAGACATACATGATGTCACCCCTATATCTCTACTGCGACTGTGCGGTAGAAGTTCTTTTCAACCATAATTCATGGGAAATATTATCTAGGATCCTGGAATTATTATCTAAAAAGAAATAACAAAATCCTTCTTATACACACTAAAATTCACCTTACTTACACATATATTCCCTTAATAAAGTATCAGCCTAAACTGAAGACTAGACTCTAGACTTCTAGGTCCTTGGATACGGCCTTTTGACTGAGTACAAGTTTTACAGAACAAATCCTTTTATTAAGGGAATTTGTTCTGTGAAGTTTGGATTCAGTCAAAGGGCCACACTTGAGGATGTAGAGGGCCACATGTGGCCTCAAAGCTGCAGATTCCCCACCCCTGAGTGATCAAGAAAAGGAGGGTTTCTAAAATGACAATGTTCCAGCCTACCTGTGATTCAATAGACACTAGGCACTTCTCTATCTCCCCCATCTTTCCATCAGGATAGCTCTCCAAACCTGACACCTCTGGTTTTTCCACCCTGAACTATCAAAGATCCCCTACCTAAGATAACCAGAGGCTGCCTCTCCAAAGTCCATTTCCTGCCTTCACTAGGCACTTCACCATGACTATTGCCTAGGACCCCACCCTGCCCACTTTATCCTGCTCCACCCTCAGAATAAGAATTTTGATGTCCCAACAACTCCAAAGCTCAACATATTTTCCAAAACCTTTCAATTGTTATTAAGAATATGTTATATTACACACAAGGACAGTAACAAGAGAAGGGACAAAAACAAGAATAAATACAAAGCATCATTGCTCAGGCACTGGCAAAAGCTCTTGCCCTGCCCAATCAAATTACTGTCATTATTCGCAAATCTGCTGTGTGCTAAACATTTTCTTAATGTAAAAGAAAAAAGTATGATTTATTATTTTTAACAAGTCTTTCCATACAAGTTAGCAGAACATTTTTGTTGTTATGAAGCTTGAATATGTAGTGCACTAAGTCTAAGGTATCATCAAGCTCATTCTAGCTGTATTTTAAGGCCTTATATGCATTTCAAATTCCATAAAATTTGAGGTATATTCTTCCTTTGATATCCCTGGAAAACCCTCTATTTTAATAGAAAAAATAAAGACACTCCCAGAGGCCAGTCCCTTCTCCTAGACTACCTTCTATATTTTTGGCACCTATTTATAGCTATACATGTTATCTCCTCATTTAGAACATAAGCTCCTTAAAGGCAGGGGATGTTTTTTTTTCCTCTCCTACATCTATTGCCTGGCAATAAATGCTTACTGATTAATCATTCAACACATGATTGATAGGCCAAGGATTCTCATAAGATTAACAAAACAGTAACACTGTAGATACCATTAAGTAGCATGCCTTCCCACCCCACTCCTTTGAAGAGGTGCCCAAGTGTACTACATTACATATATTTTCAGACTTTTTCTAAATTGATCAGTTTTGCTGATTTTTTTCTCTTCATCTTTTTTTTCCTTAAAATTTTGTTAGCTATATAGGATGCTTCTCTGGGTGGGAAGCAGAGGTATACTGAGAGAATTCTGGTGATGTAAAAACAAAACAAAAAAATTTTAACATGATTTAAGGAATTACCATTTCAGATTTAAACCTAAACAGGAAGAATTCCTTAAAATTATCCTCTAGTAAATATTAATTTTTGGCATGGAAAGTATTTCTGTGACAATTTTCCATAAGATATTCACAATTTTCTTGCCAAATTAACATTTAATTTCCATTGAAGTAACTTTGGATTATGTGTAAAATAGAAAATACTTTTTCTTATCTACCATTAAAACATACAATATGCGTTTACTATAAAAATCTTCAAGGACATCAGCATTCTATTTAGCCATTTTAATGAATCTCTAAGGTATCTAAAAATTAAACAACAAACACTTACCACAAAGTTGGGATCCTTAAATGGCAAAGGCTTGGGGGTGGTTTCCACAGGTCCTGTGCTAAAGTCAGGGGTCACTACCTTACTTTCGCTCATTGTCTCCACGCTGACACCCTGGAAACAGAGTAATAACAATTACACTTTGTAGTAAGTGTCTTTTAGGTGAGGCCCCCAAATTTAACTCACTGAATACAGAAAAGAGAAAGGGAGAGCCAGAAAAACCCGGTAGTATTGGGCAGAGTAGTCCTAAGGCAGAAGGAATGACAGGTCCAGAGCTAGAAAGGACCTCAGAAACCATTCAGACCAACCCCATCATTTTACAGGTGAGTAAAAGGAGGTTAAGTGACTTCCTCAAGACTACACTGATAGCAAACATGAGTGGGAAGACTTGAACCCAGCTCCTCTGACTCTAGAGACAATAACTTTCCGACAGTATCATGGTGTCTGCCAGAGAGTATTGTGGAAAAACCAATGCCTGATGATTCCAAATGCTTATTAAGCTTAAAAAGAAAAAAGATGAGCCTCTTTCAAAGTTGACAGCATATGAAGTCGAGCTAGGGGCAGGGAGGTGAAGAGGAGGTTGGGAAATGCAAATTAGACCTTGCTGAGGCAGAAGGGAAAGAGGCAGCTGAGGAAATAGCCTAGAGCAGCAGCTGGTTGCTGTGGCAACTGAGTGGTGTCACCCGGGCATATTAAGAACAGCTAGTAAACAAGCTGCCCTCAGTGCTTAGGCATCTTTTAATCTGCACCTATGCTTGGGATGCAGGAAAAAATATTCCTAAGGTAACATTCCCAAACCTAGGAACCCTGAGGAAGACTTTTTCCTGCTGACATTGTTGGCAGTGAAGGCAACATGACTGATGATTTGAACTCTTGGACATTACCAGATATTCAATGGATAGCCAAAGGTTTTTCACATTTTTTTAACTATGGCACGGAAAAAGCATACTCAGAAATATCTCATCCAAATATGGATTTAACGAAAATATTTTGTCTTCTCCCTGGGGGTGGGGTGTGTGTGAAAGGGTGGAGATAGAGGTGACCCAGGAACTCATTTCTTGCCCTTCCACAATGACTGTCAGTCCAGGACTAAAGACTCTCTGAAACCCACCACCCTGTTATAAATTATATGCTCAATAGTGAAGAGTAGGGCTAATTAGGCTGGTAATTGGATGGTGAATAACTCAATTATTACTCACCAATCTATAACCAGCCAGGCACCAGGACTACATTGATCCTTGCCTTGACCATCAGGCAAGACCAGGAAGTAACTACCTGAGCTTTTCTTGGCATATAGGAAGTCTTTAATAAATACCTGCTGATTGCTTAATTACACACTCCACACCCTTCTACTACTTGCTCAGAGATTAAAAATCAAATCTACATTCTAAATGCTAAGGTAGACGTGTCCCTTCCTGGATACCACTTCCTCCTATCCATCTATGCCAGGCCCATTCTTTCCACACCTCTATTCCACTTTACATCTCCATCATGTTCTCTGAAACTTATATTCTTTTGTTTAAAAAACTGCCCATAATGTCACATGTATGCCTTCTACCACCACCCCACCCCTAGAAATTATTTTATATCTATGTGGTATTTAATTATATATGTATATGTTATCTCACCACCACTACCCTCAACAGAATATAAACCCTTTGAAAGTGGGGCTTTTATTTCTGTCTTTGTATCTCCAGTACCTGGTACGTAACGGATACTTAAATGGTGGTTGAATTGAAGGGCCATGCCACCAGAGTCTATGCTCAGATTCCTTCTAGGCTGGAAAGGTTTCCAATATGGAACCAGTGATGTACCTTATGTTAGGACCTGTCTAACAAAGTTCTGAACCATCAGGTTGGCCTCAGGATAATGACATTTTGTTAATCCACAAAAGTTCTATGAGACCTTCTATGGGTTGAAAAAATGAATTAACAAAAAAGCATTTATTAAACACTACATGCTAAGTACTATACTAAGCTGGTTATATAAATAGAAAAAAAACTAGACCTTGATCTCAAAGAGCTCAAAATCTAATTGGGGGAGATAACACAAATAAAAGTACTCAACTCCAGGATGGATAGAAAGGCCCAGAAGCCTTATGGGTACAATGGCAGGGTAGAGGGCAAGGCTGAGGGGTCCCTCAAGCATTCCAGCAAGTCAGATTAGTGTCAGGGGTCCGGAGGGCATAGCAGCAGAAGAAATGGTAAGGCCCAGAGGACTTCTGGATGCTGTAACAGGGTATATGGTAAGAGCTATCTCTCTAGGATTGTAGTGGGTGACTGCCAGTTTATCCAACCAGTATGAAGACCCACAGTCACTCTTCCTACCCCATCAACCAAATGGAGTAGGGACTATCTGAGAGTCTTCAGGGAAGGACACCCTTCCCCACTTCGCTCCTATGACAGTGCTTCCTACCCAGCTAGCCTGGATGGGGCTACCTCAGTGGACGGAGTACCCACACCAATGGAACCACATCCTTGATATATCGAAGTAAACATTCTGTCAATTAGGTATTTTTTTCTCTTAGAATGAAAGACATGATATACGATCTAACAAACTACAGTGTTCTCCTTAAAACAAATTTGCTGTTTTAATCTGAAAGTGGGATGCCTATTCAAAAGCTGTTTTTACAATGTGATCAGAAGCCCAAATAACAGAACTGCAGCTATGTACCGCTAACAACCATCTCAATCCCCAGTACAGATTCATGGAACTTTGAAAAGTGATAAACAAAACTCTAAATATTCAGATGTTTGATGGAAATCAAATCCATACCCTCGTAAGAAGAACATAAAATCTGTGAGAGCTGGGACTGTCTCACTTTTGTGTCTATTCTTGGTACTAGGCTTGATACTTAATCAAGATTATACAAAATGTCTGGCAAACCTTAAATCACTGTATAAATGATAGTGTAAGGACTGGCCTATTTCTAGGGCCTAGCTGACAGAAAGGACTCCATGTTTGATCCCTGATTGACCTACCTATCTACTAGAAAGTTCCCATATAGTCCATAACTGGTTTCATCAGCTTCATTTAGATAAGGAATTCAGCTTTTGCCTGATCATAATCAGTTTAGCAAACTTCATCTAATCCATGTATGCAATGTTTATCAAATTATCCTAATCATAGTGTTCTTGTGATTGAGGGAAAGGGCAGAGGGGTTGCAGTCTGGGCCATGGGCTGATTGACTACACCTAAGGTCGCCCTCCCACTTGATTCTCCTGAAGCTGCCCAACAACAGCAACCAGATATAAGGGAGAGACCCAGACCTCTGTGTTCTCAACAGGGATGGGCATCACCATTCTATCGCCATGCCACTACCACTGCTTATCCATGGGAGTAAAGGGATGGGGAGCCACATTCCTTCATGCCTGTGTGCAATATACTATCTGACCTGCAATCCTCTGAGTATTTGTATTCCTTCTTGGTACCTCATCCACAATCTCCACACAGCTGTTGTTGCTGCTGGTGTTATTATATTATTAGTATTATTATTATTGTGCCTGTTGATTGATTGAATCCATACAAGGACGGGTAGAGAAAGGAACTATTAAATACACCAGAATGGAAAGTGAAAACACACTGGCAAGGGACAAAGAAAGGGAAGCAGCTACAGTTATGCAGGCGACATTGGGCTTCCAGCATCCCTCCCTTAAAAGGCAGTAGCCCATAAGAATCAGCAGGGCAGGTAGTTGCTGAATAAAAATATTAATTTTCTCCATAGCAGGAATAAACAAAAAACAGCATGACCCACAACTCTGGGACATTACGCCTCATTGTCCAGTTGTGTGAGTTGGTATATGCCCCTCAGAACCTGCCCATTCAGGTCCTTGTGTTCCGAAATGAAAGGGATCCATTGGTCTGTGGGCAGTAGGTGAGGGCCTAGGTCAGCCACATTATGAGGGGTAGCTATTGGAGATAAAACTGAATGCTAGACTAGGCCAGGTTGGTTTCTGACTGAGAAGTTCCATGTCTCTATATGTAACAGGCAGCATGGTAGAGTGGATCAAGGGTTAGACATGTAATTAGAAAGACCTGAATTCAAATACCACTTCAGACAATTCCTATTTGTGGGAACCTGGACAAGTCACTTAACCTCTTTCAGCCTCTCAGTTTCCTCATCTGTAAAATGGGGACAATAATAGCACCTATCAGGATTGTCGTGAGGATCAAATGAAAATATATTTAAAGTGCTTTTTAAACTTTAAGGTACTCAATAAATGTGAGATATTATTATGATGTACAATACTGCTGGAGGCATGTGGAGTGTACCTTCATAGTATGTCTTCCATATGTTACTATCTCTTATCACTAATTCCTTATATCTTCCATGTCCATTACGTTTTAATATAAGCTTCTTTGCCACCACCTCCCTATGCCTGCCTTGTCAAATGCAAGGTCTAAACATGGTACAAAAAGTACTTTGTTCTTGGAAACTTTCACAAGAACCAGAATTATCTCTGAGGTGCCACCATCTAACAGATTCTTCCAGAAAGGAGCTTAGACTGTGCATTCTCAGAGTGCCACACACCAACAAGTAATAAAGACCTCATGAGAACGCTTTCACTCCATGATTAAAGGAAGGTGAAGCTGGGGCCCAGTGCACAAAAGCAGAAAGAAGAAACCAAAGAAATGCAATAAGATTGCACACAACAGGGCACAAATGCTACTCTGCTTGGCTTGAGTTAGCTGCCTCTTGGCATCACAGGGCACAGTGGAAAGAATACTGAACTAGGAGACATAAGACTACTGTCATAGTGTTCATTCTGAAACTTACTCTCTGTAATCTTTCAGAAGTCACTTAACCTCTCAAAACTCACTTTCCTCACCAGTGAAGTGAGGATAGCACCTGGCGTCATTACTGCACGGGGTGAGGATCAAATGATATAATGTAGGTACACTTGCAAGCCATAAAGCCAAATTCAAATGTAAGGTATTATTACTACTTTCATAATTTTTGTTATTATTGCTATTACTAACACAATAATAGTAGGCTTTGGAAATTATGAGAAAAGGAGAGTCTCCTTCTTGTAGCTCATGAATGCAGCTACTGAGATTGCCATGCAGGCTAACAACATTTTGCTGCTAGGTGGTGGTGGTACCACTCCTCTGCT